TATCCCCAAAAAGCCTCAAGAGGCCTCGTAGAGGCTTCCAGGACGCTCCAAGAGGCCTCGGCGAGAATGCCAAAATCACTGAGTTTACAAGGTTTTGGCCACATTTTGGCCTCCCGGGGGAGGGGGGGGGCACTGATTAGGATGATTCCAAGAGCGCCTGGGAGAGCCCAAGATGACCTCCAAGATGGCTCAAGATACCCCAAGATGCCCCAAGATGGCCCCCACGATGCTCCAAGAGGCCCCAAGACCGCTCCAAAAAGGCTTCAAGACGCCAAAGAGCTCCCCCAGGGGCCCCGTCGAGGCCCAAATCCTTCCAAATCTTTGGGGACCGGGACATCTCTGTGTTTGGCTTTCTCGCCGTTTCGTTTCCGATGGCCATCCGAAGCCTCAAACTGGCTCCAACATGGGCCAAGAAGGCTCCAAGTGAGGCCCAAGAGAGCCCCAAGACGGCCCCAAAAGCGCCCAAGAGCGCTACAAGAACGCTCTGAAAGCGCCCCAAGAAACGACTTGTTCGGCTCCCGAGGAGCAACGCTAATTAATGCTCCCCTCTCGCTTGATCGATGTCCTCCAAGATGACCCCAAAAGCGCTCCGAAGGCTCCCAAGAGCGCTGCAAGAGGCGCCCAGGAGGCCGCAACAGGCGCCCAAGAGTCCTCCAAAATGCGTTTTTCCCCACCCTCAAAGCCCCAGGCGGATCCCGCCAAGAAGGCCCGACTGCGCACTTCGGCGCCTGCGTCGGCCAGCGCACTGACCACGCCCTGCCCCGCGGCACTTCACACCAGCCTTCGCTCGGTCTCGCTCTCCACGAGCATCGCGAGCAGGGCCGATCGCTGCGCCGCCGACTCCGCGGCCTTCACGGCCTGGATCTGGGCCTTCCGCCACTCGTGCTCCCCTTCAAGTGCATGGCACCTCTCTTGGGACAGAGGTCGCCCACGCCACCACCAGGCAATTTGGTTGGCCGCGGCATGGCGCAACTGGTTGGTCTCCTCCCTGGTGTTCCCGTCCGTCGTGCCGACGCTATACACCAACACCTGCTCCCTCTGCGCGACTATGCGCCGCTCCGCACGTCGGCGGCGATTCGCCGCGCTCTTCCGTGTAGTTTCCCTCCACGAGTTCCCGATGTCGTCGTGCATGCAGCCCGTGGTGTCGTGGTTCTGCTTGATGGTGCTTCCGATGGTCCCGATAGAGTCGACGCTTGCCTCAGCCTCGTCCTCTCCCGATGTGCAGGTGTAGACGCTGCCCTCCCATCGGTCTCGGAGTCGAAAGCCGCCTGGGTGGTGCCTTCGCCGACGACCCTGCCCAGGCTGTCCCCTTCTCCACGCTGCTTCCCCGCCACGGGCTTTCCGACGTCGTCATGCTTGTGGCCCGTGTTGTCGGGGTTTTGCTTGCTCCAATTCTGCCTCGCGCACTTCCCCATCACGAGCTGCGACGAGAGGCCAGAGTTCTCGGTTTGCGGCGCCATCTCGATCATCGTCTCGACGTCACAGTGGGCTCCGTTCTCTCGTTCTCGTCGGCGCTTTCCTTTGCGCGGGCTGTGATGGGCTCGTTTCCGTGCGGAGGTCCTGGAGGTGGAGGCTGCACCGTGTCGACGTACGCCGCGGGCACCATCTCCACCTGGCCCTCCTGCTCCATGTCATTCAACAAAGTTTCAACTGAGTTCGGCGCGGTCTAACGTGGAAGTTTGAAGACCCTCGGGCGGCAGGAGCTTAGTGAACCCCCTCTTCCCTTCCCATGTGGTCCACGACGGGTCAAAGTCCCCGCCATGCGGGTGCAAACATTGGCGCACGAGGTCAGCCTCGTGCGCTTCAGCGTTTGGCGTTGGGGCCTCCGCGGCAACATCTCGTGGGCGCGCTGGGATGTGCGCCGGCAAAGCCTGGTGCCCTGGGTCGGCGCCAGGAAGGTTTACAGAGAGCTGGGCTGGAGGGATCGCCCAGTGCAGTGGGCGAAACAAGACCTCTGACGGGGACGTGCCGATGAGAGCGGCAACCGCGCGGAAACATGCGAGCTCAGCCGCTTCATCTTTCCTTTTGCCCTCGCCGTGCACGAGGAGACGCCGACCATCTCCGCTGGCAAAGGAGCGCGGCAGGTCCAGCAGTGTGGGCGCGTAGTTGCATGGTTGTTCAACACTGTGCGCCACGAAGTCCTGTTGACGCGGTGCTCAAAAAGATACGCTTCAACTGCCGTGGCGCCCGCGCGCCCGCCCGAGCGAGCGGCGACGTGAGCAGGCACGAGCCTGGCAAACCAAGCCCATCTCGGCTGGCAGAGCCTGGCAGAGAAGAACCACGCCCGCTGGCGGCAAAAAAACACCAACGGCACAGCACACCTGCGGTGGCGCATCCAGGGCAAGAACGACCACGGCGATGCAAGCGGTAGCGGTGGCAACTTGCGTCACAATTGAGACTACGATCGCTATGGTGACGATGGCGCAGGAAGCTCCGACGCAAGCGCCTGGGTCACCACGTGGGCGCCATCGAGAAACCACGTGCGCCCCGTTGAACAGAGTAACCGCGGTGTGCTTGTGGAGGGACACCATCGGGACACCGACGGGACAGCAATGGGACAGCGACGGGACAGCGACGCGACAACGACGGGACAGCGACGGGAGTCCGACGGGACACCACGGCGGGACAACCCAGCCACCGCCCGCCCACTGGGGGAGGTTCGGACAATTGTCTTGCCCCGCCCTAGCAATAGCAGAATCATTCCCCTCGCCCGCCCACGCAATTTCGCCTCGCCTGCACGAACGACACGAAACCGAAACAGAAACCGACTTCCCGGTGGGGGGGCTCTCCGATCCACTTCGATCTCACTCCCGAACCTCCGATCTACGACAACAAAGGCAACACCAATGTCGCGCATGATGTCGGCAACATGCTCGCGAACAACATCGGCAACGCCTTCCTGACACTCCCGCCGCACACCTGCAGGCACCGCGCCTTCCTGACACAATCCGTACCACCGTTGCGCATGCTGTCGCACACCAGCACTACACTGGCGAAGCTGGCATGACCACGCAAAAAAGACCACCGCGAAGCTCGACCCTGGCACCATTGAGGAAGATCAGGCCACATCGGCAACACGCATAACGCTTCTGCGAATCGTCAGGATGAGGAATCAGGCAACATGGATAGGGGAACACTCCCCTCCCTGGCGCGCGGAGCGCGCAAGGGGCGGCGCCGGAGGCGCCGTCAGGCGGGTCCAGCGAGGATCCGAGAAATCCGCGCGGACCTCAGAGTGATCATGTTGATGTCATTGTTCGTTCCCCGAGGGAAAGCGGCGGAACAGGGAGGGGTCAAGAGGACACGGAGGGGGATTCACCAGGCCCGCCGGCGCACCCTCGAAGTCCGCCGCCGTCCTGGCGCCGCTGTTGACCTCCGCCACGGCGTCCACGAAGGCCTCGAACGAGATGTACCCGTACCTCGGGCGGCGCAGGCGAGGGCGGCACGGGAATGGCGGAGCGGGCAGCCGGAGGCGCAGACAGTTCAGCACAGAAGCCTTGCGCCAGCCGGCGCGCGAGTGGGGTGGAACCAGCATGATTCGACCGTTCTGCCACGAGCGCACTCTGGCCTCCCACGCACGAGCTGCTCCGCCCTCTCGGCGGCAGGGTGCAGGCTGGCCGCGCGGGAGAGCCGGCTGCCAGCAGGCAGTTGCGCATTGCAATGCGTCCCCAAGGCTGAGGCGCATGCAGGATGAGGATGACATCAAACAAGGATAGGCGGCGTCCAAGAGGGGTGCATCCAAGAGGGGGGTGTGCAGCTCATGGCCCGAGGCACGTGCGCGGCCCAGGGGGCGGCCGGGGACGCACTGAAACAACGGGCGGCGCCAGGCAAAATCTGGGGAGACATCATGGCCCCCGGCATGATCTCCCCCCCCCACCCCCCTTAGCCATCACCCCCTCGTTCCCCCCCCCCCCCCGACAAGAGGATGCATGTTGGCTCTCTGAGACCCGGGGACGCTGCAGGATGCCTCGGAGGCGGCGGCCCCCTCGGAGCGATCCGCGAGGCTGCCCCCGCCCCGCCCGCAGGGCTGCCGAGCAGCACCCGTGCGCGCCCGTGCGCCAGGCGGCACCCGAGGCCCGGGCGCCTGCGCCTCTTGCAGGCAGCAGGCCGGAGAGAGAGGACGCGGAGGCCTCCGTCCGCGCGCGAACCTTCCAGAGAGGGGCGCAGGCAGCGGCTGCACCGACCAGCACCTCCCTGTGGAGCCGGGATTAGGCCTCCGCCCCAGCCCCCTCCTCCTCTTCCTCCTCCTCCTCCTCCCCCCGGCCCAGCCTCCTCCTCCTCCTCCTCCTCCTCCTCCTCGTCGCCGTCCTCCTCCTCCTCCTCCTCCTCCTCCTCCTCCTCCTCCTCCTCCTCCTCTTCCTCTTCCTTTTCCTCCTCCTCCACATTCTCCTCGTCGTCGTCGTCCTCCTCCTCCTCATTCTCCTCGTCGTCGTCCCTCCTCCTCCTCCTCCTCCTCCTCCTCCTCCTCCTCCTCCTCATCCTCGTCCTCCTCCTCCTCCTCCTCCTCCTCCTCCTCCTCCTCCTCCCTGGCCGCTCCTCTCCCTGCTGCGCTCCGCCACAGAGAATCGGCTGGTCGCGGGTTCCGAACGAGTGCCTGCGCTCGCGCTGCGCGAGGAGGACGCTGCGGATAGACGCCGAGCCTCGCAAGCCCGCGGCCTTTGAGGCTGCTACTGCTAACGGCTGCAAGCGACGATGTCTGTAGCCCTGCAAACCTTTCCTGCCACCACCCCGCGGCTAAACCGTGCGGGGAGGTGGGGGCGCATCAGGGAAAAAGGTGACAGACCCTTGAGGCTGGGCGTCCACTGGAAGGCCCCCACCACTCGGGGGGACCACCCTTCCCCCCTGGGGAAGCGGTCCTACTCCGCCGCCCCGTCCCGCCCCAGATTCAGGAGCGGCACCTGCCCACTCTGTCGTTGCGCGCGCGCGGGCCCGTCCCCCCCCCCCACGCTCCTCCGCCGGATCGCCTCTCCCGTGGATCTCCGCATCGCGGCCGGGGGCCGCACGTGCGTTGCCCCTTGAACTTGCCGTCGCTCGGCGTCGGCTTCCTTGGAGAGCGGGAGAGCAGCGAGGGAGGGGCCCAGATCTCTGGGGATACCATCAGAACCTAGAGGAATCCATAGAGGCCTCCCAGATGAGGTCGGAGTGGATGGGGTCGGAAGATCGCGCCGCATCGGCGATGTATCGGCGATGCATCGGCGATGCATCGGCGATGAACTGGCGATGCATCGTCAACGTGGGCGACGCATCGGCGACGTCGACATCAAGCAAATCGGTCCCCATAACGAGCCGCATCGCCGATACATCGTCGATGCGGCACTATCCTCCGAGCCCATGTACTCCGACCCAATCGAGGAAGCCAAGAATCCAGAAGCATTCGAATGAATCTCGGGGGGCGAAAAATCGAAGGGCCGCTCGCACGGCGAGGCGGCCTGGCCGCCCCCCCAACCAAGCCCACGCTTCAGACACGGCGTGAGTCCCATCGGGTCTCGTCGGGGCCCTTCGATCCACACAGCGACGACGACAACGACAACGACAACGTGGACGTGGACGTGAACGACGACGACGACGGACGTGGACGACGACGACGACGACGATGAAGACGACGACGACCGACGATCAAGAATCAAGGTCTCCAGAGGCCTCTGGAACCGCGCGGGAGCCTCCGAGATCCTCAAAATGGCCAGCAGTTCCCAAGAACTTAAAAAAGCCTGGATCCTGGAACCTGCAATGCCTGGCCTGGATCTTGGCACGTCGCGCCCCCACGCCGTCCTTTTTCCTCCTCGTCGTCGTGCACTGTGTCGCCGTCGCCGTCCTCTTCCACCTCCTGCTCCTCCTCCTATCATTTCATTTACCTCCTCCTCCTCCTCCTCCTCCTCCTCCTCCTCCTCCTCCTCCTCCTCCTCCCTCCTCCCTCCTCCCTCCTCCCTCCTCCCTCCTCCCTCCTCCCTCCTCCCTCCTCCTCCTCCCCCTCCTCCTCCTCCTCCTCCTCCTCCTCCTCCTCCTCCTCCTCCTCCTCCTCCTGGCTGCCGCAGACCACTGGCGCCGTCGAGCCACGGGCGCGTCGGAGGAGCCACGGGCTTCCTGGCGGCGGGATCTGGCCTCGTGGGGGCCCCGGCGCGAGGAGTGCACCTCCCCAGTAACCCAGAGCCCCTCGAGTCATGAACAAAATCACCACGGGAGGTTTTTCTATGTTTTCGGCCTCCGGGGGCCCTTACCGGCCCTCGGGACCGTCAAAAAACGACTCGGGGTGGAAAACCGGTCCCGTCGAGTAGGTCCGGACCTCTGGGGGTCGCGTCATGAAAAAATCATGACGTCGGGGCCTGCGGGGAACCCTTGCAGCCCCCAATGTGTAGCTCGATGCATGTTCCTTGCCCTTAATGTTTCAATTGCGATAGGCGCTTTCAGCGACCACTGCTTCGCAGGGTAGTTGGCTCCTCCGAGGAACTTGCCCATCAGCGGGCGTCGGGGCTCTGGGAACGCAGCGCCCAGGCTGGTCTGGGGCACCAGCTGTTGGGTGCAGCCCTCGCCCTCGGGTGAGCGAGCCGTTTCCCCGGCTCGGAGCTCTCCTCTCTGCTGCCATCGGAGCCTGGCTGGCATCAGAAGTTATGGAAAACTCAAGGCGAAACTGTCAAATGATGCAATGCGTGCCGCCTGCGCGCGCGCGCCCCAGTGCGACCAAACCGAAGTCAGTTTAAAAAATGACAGGTTCGGAACCATTTCCCTATAGAACAACTCAGAAGACAAAAACATAGCCGTGAGTCCGTGGCACATATGCTACATCCCGCTTCTGGCATCATCACCACTAACCCGCACGGGTTGCTCACGGCCCCTCAGACATTGCCAGCAACTTGCGGGCGGCGAAGATTGGAACTGTTGGCTTCGGATTCTTCGAACTTGACGCGCCCCATCGATTTACCAACACAGGTTGCGCTGTGATATTGCATCCAAAAGATGCGCCATACTGCTTTCAACAGTTACGTTGCAACGGTTATACTGCCAGGCGCCAGTTACCCGCCGATTTAGCTGCTTAGTGAGGTAGCTGGCACCATGTAGATTGCACCCCGCCTGTTGCTCCAACGTGCTGCGTCACCTGCACTGCACTTCGGGCACATATTGCCTCGCACATGTTGCCCCGCGCCGTTCGCAACACGTTGGTGGCAATGGTCGCAGACGGAACCACACGCATCACACCAAGCGCGAATACGCACGTGTATACAACTGTATTGGCAGGTTGCGGCATGCATCGATTGCACCGCACAAGTTGCTTATCAGCAATGCAATCGTCTACTGTCTGGGGTCCGCGCTGACAGAGAAAACTTAACAAACTAAGGGTCGAAGTCAAGGTCCAGGGTCAGGGTCGCAGCGCGCGCCGGAGCGAGCCCTGCGCGGGCTGCCGCGCGCGCGGCAACTCGAGCGACTCCGCTGCCGCCATCGCGTTATTCAAGATCCTCGCTCGCGCCACTCATGATCATTATAACGGCCCCGCTCTCCTTGAATGTTCTCGCGCGCAACGCAAAAATCCACAGACATGATTGCAGAGCTGTGGGGAACTACAGAAGATGGACAGCTGTGAATAGCAATGTCGCGGCATGGAACCATCTCGTCGCGGGGCGCCCGTGGCCCACCTTCCAACGGGGCCCCGCTTCGCGGCGAGGCTGCCCCATCGCCACTCTGCGCATCCCTGAATACGATCGAAAAGTTTGTCTTTGATAGCCCTTCCCCGGCAGCCGCGCTGCAAAACCGAAATGCGCAAAAATCATGCCCAGCGCGACGCGTCGGCCGAGTGATCCACTGTCGACGCAGGGCGCAATCGGCGCCCTGCCCACGCCAGCGAGGTTTCTGATCATCATGCGCATGGCCGCGCTGTTTTCCGCGACGTCGCCGCGGCCGACCCCCCATGTCGTCGATTGAGGGCCCTTGCAAACAGCTGGTACCTTGTCGACTGAATCCCGCAGGCCCTCTGGGCGGTGGTGGTCTACACCTTAGGCGATGCTTAAGAAAACTCTAGTTTTCGGCCAGAGTCTCGATTATTCTTAACGTTTCAATGTAAATCCGGAGATTTGAATCAATTTTTTGGGTTTTATTCAACTTCTGGGACTATGAATTTCTTAACCCATGATTTCTTAAGCATTTCGCAGGGTCTAGAGCGTTTCCTCTTCCACCCCCCTTCTTCCTTTTTCGGGGAAGGGTTTGCCGCCCCCCCCCCCTGCCCCCTCCGCTGGGCCTGGGCGAGGCGCCCAGCGAGCGGCCAGGGCGCCCAAAACGGCCTCGGCGAGGAAGCCACAGTCATCAGTTTTACGCAGGTGGTGGCCCCATTTGGGCCGTTTTGGGGGGCGGCGCCCATTGCCCCCCCCCCCCCCCCCCGCCCCACATTTGATCGATCTCCTCCGAGATGGCACCGCGAGCGCCCCCGAGGCCCCCAATGGCGCCCCTAGAAGGCCCCAGGGGGTGGCCAGGAGGTCTCAAGAGGCCCCCAGGAGGCCCCCAGGAGGCCCCCAGGACGCCCCCAAGAGGCCCCCAAGAGGCCCCCTTGAGGCGCCGAAAGGCCCCCCAGAGGCACCCCAAGACGCTCCAAGAGGCCTCGGCGAGAATGCCAAAATCATTGATGTCCTAAGGCGCTGGCCACACGTTGGCCTCCTCGGGGAGGGGGGGGGCGGGGCGCTGCTTGAGATGACTCCAAGAGCGCCTGGGCGAGCTCAATATGACCTCCAAGATGGCTCAAGGCAGAGCAAGATGCCTCAAGATGGCCCCAGCGACGCCCCAGGAAGCTCCAAGACCGCTCCAAGACGGCGCCAAGTGGCCAAAGAGCTCCCCCAGGAGGCGCCGAAGAAGCCGAAATCGTCCCAATACATTTGGACAATCCATGCGTTTGGCTTTCTCGCCTTCTCGCTTCCGATGGCCATCCGCGGCTCTAAGATGGCCCGAGAGGGGTCCAAGGGTGCTCCCAAGGCTCCCGAGAGCGCTTCAACAGGGCCCCAAAAAGCGCCCAGGAGGCCCCAACAGGCGCCCAAGAGGCCTCCAAGAGGCTCCCAAGAGACCCCCAAAAGGCCCCGGGGAGCTTTCCGAGGCACCCAAGACGCTCTACGGCGCCCGGGGCCGCCATGAGGCCCCCAAGACGCTCCCAGAGGCCTCCGCTGGGAGGCCCTTCCTGTGCGTGCTGCCCACTTCCCTGATCGAGGCAATTCCTCTAGGCGTCGTTTCTGGATGGGCTTGTGGGGCCACGCGAAGCGTCGAAAATTCTGATGGGGGATGCTTCCCACGGCGCTCGGGCCCCCCATTTTGGGGGGCGGGGATTTCTGGGGCGGCGGCGCGGGGGCCGTGCCTCGGCAGAATGTTGCGCCCTCGCTCCGGCGACGCGCTGTTTGTTTCAAAGCGCGTCTTTCTCGCGTAGGCGCCGGGCGCGTTGCTGGCGGCATCCCGATAACGATTGGAGCCTCGTTGGGACTGAGGAGGTCGGCAGGGCCTGCGCGCGGCGCCAGCCGTCTCCGTCGGGGTCGGCAAGGCTGTCGCGCGGCGTCCGCCGCTTCCACTGACTCCATGATAAATATTCCATACGCACGATGCCTTATTATGGATTCCTTCATAATATTATTTACTGACGGTTCTTGAATGCGGATTCCTTAGTGTATACGGTCTTCTGTCAATCCAGATTCCTTACAAACTACTCTTTAACAAACATCCCTTAGTGAAGATGCCGTACTGCAGGTTCCATTAGTACAAACGCCTCAGTACATATTTTTGCGTAAACATACCATAAGGGAGTTTCATTACTACGGATTCCGCATGAGGGTTCCTGCGTAAGGATTCCTTGCTACTTTCCGTCAGTCCAGATTCCTTACCGAGGACTCCTTTGTACATATTCAATCGCGAATATTCCTTACTAAGGACTCCTGAATACATGCTCCCGGGAGTCCGTGGCAAAGAACAAATACCTAACCGCGGATTCCTCAGTAACGACTCCTGCGAAGGCTTCCTCCACGAAGACCCCAGAATAATAATTCCTTGCCAAATCTTCAATACGGCAAATTCTGTTCTATGGATTCCTTACTCCGGATTCCTTTGCGCAGGCTCCTCAGTCAAGATGTCGCAGCGATGATTCTTCAATCCGGACTCCGTGGTGAGGCTTCCTTGCTCATGAGTCTTCAATGCCAAACATTTCCTACTGATATCAGGCACTGGCAAGGGCAGAACCATCAGTGCCAGCCACGGCCGGGCCGCTATTCCAAGGAATTCCAAGAATTTCTGGAAATTTCTGGATATTCCGGGAATTGTTAGAATTTCTTGAATATCTGGATTTTCTGGATTTCCGGAAAATATTTGGAATTCTCGAATTCCTGGATTTTCTAGAATTTCTGGAATGTCTGGAATGTCTGGAATATCTGGATTTCCTAATTTCTGGATTTTCTGGAATTTCGGTGTCTCCTTTGAATTTCTGAAATTTGTGAATTTCCACGGAACCCAGAGGATCCATATAACAATACTATGGTTGTGGCATGTTGTTGTAAGTATATAACAACATTCATGGTTATAATACTATGTGCGTTTTTACTATATAATTATGTGCGTTCCCCCAACTTACCACCACAAACAACTCTGCCAACAACTCCTGGGGCCACTCATCCTGTTCTATTGGTGGAAAGTTGCCCGTCTGAGCCACACAAATGTGCGCGAAGGCGCGTGCAATGTCCCATGCTGTCTTTCAACTTCTCTAATTACCCTTCCGTGCTGCACTGTAGACGACGCGGTGCTGTCGCAACCTTATGGCTGCACCCTCGCAATGCTGCGAACGGGAACGTCACGATCGACCACAACTCTGAACGACAAATTGAGAAGAACGTGGAAGAAAATCTTACGCAGTTGTGAAAAATCGTGATCGCGTTTTCTTCGACCACGTGCAATTTCGAGGGCGCATGCGTGCATGCGCATTCGGGCCCTGCTCGTCGGCAGCTCACCTCCCGCTGCGTTTCTCAAACCATTCCTCGGCCTATTGCGCACTTCGTCTTCGATGTGGTTCCAAGCCTCCGCTGGCTCTCGGCCACTGCGTTGTCTGATGGTGCAGTTTGGTCACATCGAATGCTCTGTCTCGTCCTCGCGATCCGACTGTTTGGTCATATGCACAACAAAATGTGGTGTCTTCCCGCATATCCCTCGACGCACCCAGGACGCGTTGGTACAAGCCCTTGTTCGATGTCTCAGTGGTGGACTGGATGGTTCCAACGAGCGCTGGATCAACAAAAACATGCAAGGTTTCGGGGTACAGCTGGACGCCTCCATCCTCCATCCTCCATCCGCCCACCTCCCGAATCCCCCCTTGCCCCCTCCGCCGTCGTCCTCGTCCTCCTCGCCCTGCCGATCCTCCTCCCATGTCCTTCCTCCTCCTCCTCCTCCTTCTTCTCCCCCCCCCTCCTCCTCCTCCTCCTCCTCCTCCTCCTCCTCCTCCTCCTCCTCCTCCTCCTCCTCCTCCTCCTCCTCCTCCTCCTCCTCCTCCTCCTCCTCCTCCTCCTCCTCCTCCTCCTCCTCCTCCTCCTCCTCCTCCTCCTCCTCCTCCTCCTCCTCCTCCGCCTCCTCCTCTTCCCCGACGACGCGCGCTTCTCCCCCACTGGCTCCAGAACAGCGGGTTGACCGAGGCGAAGGGCGCGCCCTCCTGCGCCACGAAGTAGCCGCGGTGGGCCTTCCCGCCCGCGAGCCCTCCCGCGCCCCTCGGGCTGGACAGAACACGAGGCAGGCAGCGCCAGCTGGACAAATCAAATCTCCTCCTCCTCCTCATCCTCCTCCCTCCTCCTCCTCCTCCTCCTCTCCTCCTCCGCCTCCTCCCCCTCCCCTCCCCCTCCTCCCCCCTCCTCCTCCTCCTCCTCCTCCTCCTCCTCCTCCTCCTCCTCCTCCTCCTCCCCCTCCACTCCTTCTCCTTCTCTTCCTCCTCCTCCTCCTCCTCATCCTCCTCCTCCTCCTCCTCCTCTTCCTCCTCCCCCTCCTGCCCCGTAAAAAGAAAAGAAAAACGGCGCAGGAGCAGCGGCAGCGGCGGGTTTCGGCGCCTCGCGGCGGCAGATGCTTGCAGACGCTGGCAGAAGACGCCCGTTGGCGCCGGCAGGCAGCGCCAACAAATGATGTCACTAGGACTCGCAGATGGGCCGTTGCAGTGTAGACGAAGCCTCGACGGCTGACGGCGTCATGGAATGCCATAAGCAGATTGGTGTTGGCGTTAGCAGACGGCGCATGATGAAACCCCATTGCTATGCCGCAAGTGCTCTCTCCCCTGCTCGCATCACACCGCGTCGCTGGCGGCCGCGCCCTCCGCCAAACCCCCCTCGCCTGCTCCTCGCGCGTTCAGCTTGCCTCTACCTGTCCATGCTCGACCATCTCTTCACACATCAAATCTCCTCCTCCTCCTCCTCCTCCTCCTCCTCCTCCTGCTCCTCTCCTCCTCCTCCTCCTCCCCCCCCTCCTCCTCCTCCTCCCCCCCTCCTCCCCCTCCTCCTCCTCCGCCCCTCCTCCTCCTCTCTCTCTCTCCTCCTCCTCTTCCTCCTCCGCCTCCTCCTCCCCCTCCTCCTCCTCCTCCTCCTCCTCCTCCTCCCCCTCCTCCTCCCCCTCCTCCTCCTCCTCCTCCTCCTCCTCCTTCTCCTCTCCTCCTCCTCCTTCCTCCTCCTCCTCCTCCCCCTCCTCCTCCTCCTCCTCCTCCTCCTCCTCCTCCTCCTCCTCCTCCTCCTTCTCCCCGTCGGCTCTATGGGGTGCGGCCTGGTCCACTGTGACCTCGCCCTGCTGGCCCATATAGAACCTGCCGTGCGGAAAGGACGACGGCATGCGACCACGCAGAGCAGCTTCGAGCAGTTTCGAGGGGCAGCGGCGTCTCGACCCGGCAAGCCGCGCGGACCCCGTGGAAGGGGATGGGCGAAAGAACGAGCGAGCGAGCAGACCTACCACGCGGGGAGGGCGAGAGAGACAGAGGGAGGAAGGGGCAGTAGCCGACCGGGACTGGACCGAACGGACGGAGCAGCAGGAGCAGACCGACCGAACCAGGGTGACCGAGGGAAGCGGGAGGTTATGGCGAGCGTGCGAGCGCGCAGACCGGGCAGATGTCTTCCCCTGGAGGGAGAAGGAAAGGCATACGATCGAGCAGACGGCGTAACTTTCGCGGGCTCGCACGCACGAAGAAAGACCTGAGCGGATCGAGCAGACCGGGCGACACGAGCGAGCCGACCGAGCGGGCCGAAGGGAGTGAGCAAGCGGAAAGACCAGAGCGAGCGGACTGAGCGAGCGGACCTACCAGCCTGAGCGGACCAAGCTAGCGGATCGAGCGGGCAGGTGTTCCGTGGGAGCGAGCCAACTTTCGGAGCGATTCCATCGACCGAGTCGCGCGGACGAGCAAGCGGACCGAGTGAACGAACAAGCCGCGCGACAGCGCGGACCAACTCTCCAAGCGGACCGAGCGCGAGCGGACCGAAAGGACCGAACGAACAGCCTCAGCAGATCGAGCGACTGGGCCGAGCGAGCAGACAGAGCGGACCAAGCAAGCGGACCGAGCGAGTCGGGGTGGACTGAACGAACGGATGGGACCGTGCAGACCGAGCAGACCGACCGCGGGAGGGACAGGGGGAGTGGGAGGGGAACCGGGGCGAGCCATGGATCGAGAAGGAGGGGTCGTGCACGAGGCCCCCTGCTTCAGTGTGAGGAGAGGCGGAACCAGCGTTGCTGCGAGTGCACGTCCGACTTCGGCGCCACCCAGCTGCTGGTGTACACGCCGTGGCCTACGGAGCCGTCTTCGATGTTCCTCCAATCGACCACGATCGTGATCGTATCCTGGCCACGGGGGGCAGTCACCGGGCCTTCCGTGACATAGACCTCCTCCTGCTGCTTCTCATCGCGCGGGGAAAACATTGGAGGAGGCCACGAGAAGCAAGGCAGCCAAAGCCATTGCATAGAGGACTCCGACTGCAGGCAAGCTGCTGCAATATGGAAGCGCTACAACAGAGAGCGAAACCCCTCCTGTGGCACCAGAAGAGCATGGGTGCACGAGGAAGGCTAGAGGAACAACCGCGTGATGATCTAAGAAGCAGCGAGCCCATTCCGAACCCAACTTGGTCGTCACTTCAGCGCCAGGACCGTACCCGCTGGCACCGAGCCTGGCCAGGCCAAGGAGTTGTCCTGCAGCCCCTCCCGGCCAAACAAAAACTCCAGGACTCTGCGCCGTGAGGACGCCAGCCCTCCTGGGGGAACCCCCGGTTGAGAGGCCCGTGCCCTGCTGGGCTGCGGCCCTGCCTGTGCCCTCGGCCGCCTCTCGCTCTCTCGTGCTGTCCACCGCCTCCCGTCCGCTGTCTCTCCCGCCCGATCTCCTTCGAGCTGTCTGCTCTCCTCCTCCTCCTCCTCCTCCTCCTCCTCCTCCTCCTCCTCCTGCTCCTCCTCCTCCTCCTCGGGGAGGAGGTTGGGGGGGGGCGGGGCGGCGCGCCCCCCTCGGCCGCACCACGAGAACGTCGCTGGACCAGCACGGGGCCCTGGAAGCCATTCGCGAGAGGGCCCACGAGGGCCAACGATGACACAGGAGGGCCTTCAATAGGGGGAAAACAAACCTACCTCGCTTTTGATCCCCTCGCTTCCAAGAGATACCAAACGATGCCAAACAACGGCCTGTACTGGTCAGGCCGCTTGACGAGGAGGCGCGTGGTATGACCTGGTTTTGCCTGGAAGCGAAAGCGGGGTAGGCAATTCACGCTCTGACTCAAGGCAAGCGAGAATTGAAAGCCTTGGGTTGTCAACGCGTCCCGTTTGTCGCCGTTGTTCTCCCAAGGTGTGTCCTGGGAATGCTTCAGGAGGGCCCTCAGGGACAGCGCCCAAAAATTGCCCCAGGGTGGCCTCCAGAAGACCGTACGTAGACACCACCAGCGTCTCCCAAGACGGCCCAACACGACGCCAGGACGGCCCCGAGATGCCCCAAACAAATCCCCTATAGAGGCACTCAAAAGGCACCAAGACCGCGCCCACTCTGCAGAACAAGGCTCCACGGGTGGCCTCCAAGGGGTCCAAGATGCAGTCGAGGGCGTTGGCCCAAGGAACCCTAAACAAGGAACGAGGCCCCTTCTTTACCATAGGTTCAACTTCGATGTCCCCATCGAAAACATAAGAGGGAAACCTGCGGCAAGCTGCGAAACACTTCAGGAACATGGAGCCCCTCCCCAGCGAAAAGGGCTCCTTCTTCAGGGCCCCGACCGTACCCTCTCAGTCCTCAAGTCTCAACAGACTCGGGCACGGGGGGCGCGGGTTGGCCTGACGGGGTCCATCATAAAAATGACGAGGCCCAATCTGAAACTTGACGCGAGCTCCCACTGCAGACATCCCACGAAAACTGGACCGGCAAAATCCAGGACGCGCTCGTCAAAAAAACGTCGGCAAGCCCGAGTTCCGGCTTTCGGGAGCGGCCAAGAGGGGGGTGTCCAAGAGGGGGGGGTGCAAATCATGACCGGCGGCATGTGCGCGGCCCAGCGGGGGGGCCAGGGGCGCAATGAAATCAGAAGAAGCGCCATGAAATCTGGGGAAATATCATGGCCCCCGCCATGATATCCACCCCCCCCCTAGTCATCACCCCCCTCTTTTCCGCCCCCGAGGCTTGCCCGAGTCTTACGTTTCCCCGAGAATCGGCCACGCCAGCTGCCGCGGGCGCGGCGGACGCGTCCGACGCGGCGCGCCGAGCGCGGAGCGCGCCGCGAGGGCGGGGTTCAGCAGAGAGAGAGGCCGCGGAGCAGGAAGGAGGGAGAGGCCCAAGGCCCAAACCCAGACCCCCTCGAGTCATGAAAAAATCACGACGGGAGGTTTTTCTATGTTTTCGGCCTCCGGGGGCCCTTACCGGCCCTCGGGACCGTCAAAAAACGACTCGGGGTGAAAAACCGGTCCCGGCGAATAGGTCCAGACCTCTGGGGGTCGCGTCATGAAAACGTCATGACGTCGGGGGTCTGGGAACACAGAGCACGAGCAGGCCCCGAGACCCCACGAGGTGGCCCCCAAGATGGTGGTCCGCCGCCCGCTCCCTTCGAAGCGCGGCGCCGGGATCTCAGGGCCCCGACTGTACCCTCACAGCCCCCAATTCTCGAATCGGCCACGCCGGCTGTCGCGGGCGCGGCGGCCGCGGCCGACGGGGCGCGCGCCGAGCGCGGAGCGCGCCGAGCAAGGGAGAGAGCAGAGAGAGCGGCCGCGGAGAGCGCGGAGGAGACGGGAGAGAGGCCGGAGGCCCAAAAGACACAGAGAACGAGCAGGCCCCGCGACCCCACGAGGTGGCCCCCAAGATGGTGGTCCGCCGCCCGCTCCCTTCGAAGCGCGGCGCCGGGAGCTCTGAAGGGGCCCTGAGACCTATTTTGCGATATGTTTGGGGATGTGCGTCTTCCCCCCCCCCCACTTCCCGTATTTTCCAATATTTTCCTGGGGATCGACGATTCATTGTGACTGTGTGTTTTTTCTCCTCCTGAATCTCAGGGGCACTCCACATGAAAGAGTCAACGGGAGGGGGTCTCAACCCCCCCAGACGAGCAGCGTTAACCCCCCTCCCCCGAACCAGCCATGCATGACGGCCGTTTGCCCAGAGCCCCCAGAAACCTCACCTCGAAGAGAGCGCAGACCAGACTTCCCCCGAAGCAGACCCCCCCCTTCCCCTGTCATCGTTCCGGCGTCGATGCCGTGGGCCCGCGAGGAAGCTTCGGCGGAGCCCCCTCGCAACGCCGCGGCCAAGCTGGTCGCCGGTGACCCGGCCTCACACTCAGGCAGTGGCCTCGACCGCGTGCGATGACACCGACTCCCCACCGACTCACCACGCGGCGCGGTCCCCGTGCCGATCGGGGCCCCCTGGTGCTGGCGGGCCCGGCAGCAGGCCTCGAGGTCTGGAGGCCGAGGTGGGCGAGACCTTTGTGGGCCCCGGAAACGGCAGTGCCGTTTTTTCACCGTTTCCATAATTATCCCAGTGCGACCCTACCTAGGAGTTGGAGCAATTAGGAAAGCAACATCTACATCTACACCGACGGCTACATTTACATCTACACCTGCATCTACATCTACATCAACATCAGCAGCTAGGTAGGGAAAAATGTCCCTTGAAAATGGAAACGGCAAAATAACGGCGACCGGAAACGGTAGAAAACAGCTCCAGGATCGGAACCAGAGCCGGAACCGGTGAAAAAACGGCGCCGGATCCGGTAAAAAAACGGCGTCGGAACCGGCAACAAAAACGGCAAAACGGAACCGGTAAGAAACCGGCCCTGTCGTTTCCAGGGCCCACTAAGGGCGAGACACTCGCCGCCGTGGCTTCCGTTCCCGACGCCCACGAGCAAAAAAAAAAAAAAGGCTGCATATAAAAGAGGCCTGCGAAGGGCCGCCTGGCCTTCCTGGGCCGGCGCCGGCCTCTCCTCCTCCGGGGCCCCTCCCCAGCGCGCGGAAGAGGCGCGGGTGGCGGCGTCGATGGCCAAAACACAGCGGCACCACCCCACCTGCGGCCCCGCGGGCCGCAGCATATACCAGGACGTCCGGCGTGGATCTTTGCATGGTACGCGCTGCGGCCCCCGGTGGGCCGTAGCGCAACATGGAGGGCCGTAGGTGGGGTGGTGTCGTTCATCCTTTGGCCGGCGACGTCGAAGAAGCCGCCAGTGGTGTGCAGCGCAGACTTCAGCGATCCGCCCGGAACTCTGGACAACAAAAAAACCCTACGCCGCTGTGTATGATCGATGTGGTGATCGGAGCAACCACAAGCCGCCGTGATCAGGTCCGCGGCGCCCATCGAGGTTGAGGGTGGGGGACCCCAGGCGCGAGCGTGGCACAGCGCGTCGGGAGAAGGAGCCTATCTCTGGGGTCCAGAGCCCTGGCCAACAGAGGCAGCGGCGGCGGTGACCGCTCGGCGGGGCTACCAGGCAGTTCCTGCTATCCTTGTCCTTGACGTTCCAAAATCAAGGAGAGATATTTTCTGAACGTTTCGACAAGTGCTGTACGGCCTGGCGGCCACAATCTTCCCGGAAGCAATGCCAGCCCAGCGGTGGCCGCGGCAGTGGTAGTCGCCCGGCCCAAAGAGGTGAGGTTCTTGATTTTTTTGTTGGGCCCCGTCTGGGCCTGAATGCCTTCTGGCCGTACGGAGAGTCCTGCTGTTAACTTCGAGGGCTCCAGGGCAACAAAAAGTGTTGGATGCCTGTGGGACGAAATTGTATTTGCGATGTTGAATAGTTTGAGGCCTCCAGACACCTTCGCGGGAAGACCAAGAGTCAAGATCCACGGCGAAACTGACAACTTACGACCGCCTCTTTCTCCTCCTCCTCCTCCTCCTCCTTTGGGCGCCCGAATTATCTGGGGTAACTCGGGTCCAGGGTAACTCGGGTTTGGATTCCCGGAAAAGGAACCCGAGTTAGCCCTGACCCGAGATACCCCTGATGATGTGGGGCTCTGGACGCCCGAATTATCCGGGGTAACTCGGGTCCGGGGTAACTCGGGCTTGGATTCCCGAAACACGAACCCGAGTTAGCCCTGACCCGAGATACCCCTGATGATGTGGGGCTCTGGACGCCCGAGTTATCCGGGGTAACTCGGGCCCGGGGTAACTCGGGCTTGGATTCCCGAAACACGAACCCGAGCTAACCCTGACCCCTCCTCCTCCTCCTCCTCCTCCTTCTCCTCCTCCCTCCTCCTCCTCTTCCTCCTCCTCCTCCTCCCGACGGCAGGCGCGGCAAGCCGGTGCCCACTCCTCGGTTTCTACTCCGTTGTCCAGCCGCTTCGTCGCCACGCCCGTGCTGCAGTGCGCGGTCACGCGGACGGGCCTCGCCTTCCCGTACCTCGGCGCAGGGGGGGGGAGCCGTGCGGATGCAGACGACACGTTGGAGACATGCGCACTTCGAAAAGTTTGTATGTGCATGGTACCTTTTTATCGATTCAGGGGGGCGTAAGACCCTGATACAGGGGACTCGGAAGTCCCCGACGAGGTCGTCAAAAAAATGACGAGGCCGAGCCTGCATTCTGACGAGGCCTCCCGCTGCAGACATCCCACGAAACTCCTACTCGTTAAAATCCGAGTCGCGGTCGTCAAAAAACTATGTCGAACCCGAGTCCTGGCAAACCCGGGTCTTACGCTCCCCCGATCGATGGTCTTCAAACTATTGGCTGGCATTCCTGGGTGCTTCGCCCTGCAGCCGCCTGCAGGCGCCTCGTGGAAGCCCCACGCACTGGCTGGCGCTCTCCATGTTTTTCCGCCCAGGGACCGCCCCGCGCGCCGGCTGCACCACACAACCGGCTACACCACACAACCTGCACAACATGCGCTGCACCAAAAAAAAGTCGCACCACATAAACTGCACAACCCATGTAGCTTGCAGCTCAAAAGAAGAATGGGCTCTCCCACCCTACCGGATCTGGACTTAACTCGTAACCGCTTGCACTGCTAACTACACATGGACCTGCCTCACCGTCGATTCTCCGCATGCAACGTCACCCTGCGTGGACCCCAAGCAGTGGAATCTACTATACTACGTGGTGCAAGCTATGCGGAGCACTCTACGTGATGAAATGTATGTGGTGCAATCTCTGTGGTGGAAACTACGTGATTCAAACAAGGTGATGATTTCCAGATGGCGCAAGCTACGTGGTGAAGTTCACCCTGCGGGGCTTGAAATTGTCATCTCCACTGCTCGCGCAGTCATCCTATCCAGCCACCCGCAACTTGGTTTACAAAGCCCATTCGGCGGCGATTGCGATGGGTGTTCGGCGGTAGCTGGCGAATCGCCTTGCGCGCAAAACGGCCGGCTAGTTTGGCCCGACCGACGCGGCCGCGGTGGCGCTGACCGCTGGGCACAGCCCACAGGGCACTTCAATGCGAATCGGGGACTTGGGCGGGCTCGGTATCATGGCAACGTCGACAATGGTAGACACGATGATGGTAGCAGCGATGCGGGTGACGATGATGACAACGACGACGGCACGGCCAGTAACATCGCCGATGCTGCTCACGCCGACGACGATGACGGCGTCTTCGCGTCGGTGATGAAGGCGTTGGACGGAGTTCGCGATGCGCGCGCGGCCGACGGATCGTGCCCCCCGAGCACGCGCGGAAGGGCGTTCGAATGATTTCGGCATGCGGCGCGAGAGGCCTTCTTGGCAGAATCCGATGAACATGTCACAAAAAAACATATATGGCTCCCTTAAGAATTCGCAGAAGCGCGAGCGTGTGCAGTTTTGACACCTGATGCTGCAAACCCATGCGGTTTTAGATGTGGTCGGGAAACTCAGTTTTTATCATTCGAGTTCCGCATACGCACCTCTTTGCATTTGCTGCAAGGGTTGATTGCGACACCACGCGTGCAAAAACGTTCGACTGACTTCGACATGCGCGCGCAAAAGACCTATTTGATAGCATGGGATGATCATGTTGAAATTCGACAGGTCCCCAAAGACTATGCACAAGAGCAAACCCAAGCGTACGTACGAACAGACAGACAGGAAAACCTACCGACCAACCTACCGACCTATCAACACACCGACTGGCATATATACAGACAAACATATTATGTACTTATATATTCGCAAACACACATACACATCTGTATATATATATAAAATACATACATACATGCATGCATGCATGCATATAAGAGGACATGCACATATATACATATATATACATACACATATACACACATGCATACGTACATACATACATACATACATACATACATACATACATGCATACACACATACATACATACGAACGTACATACATACGTTCATACACATACATACATACACATACGTACACACATTCATGCACACAAATACCTACACATCTACATACATGTATACATGTGTATATCTATGTATATACAGCCATGCATACATACACACATAGCGCCCGGTCGCCCTGGCAGGAAACGCACGCAGCACCGTACATGGTGCTCTCCTGGCCCCTTCTTCCTCCTCCTCCTCCTACTCTTCTTCTACCTCTTGTGCTTTATCCGGCTGCTCGCGGCATTTTCCTTGATCCCGCGTCGAGCTTGCTAGACGCATGCTTTTGCCCACGGGTCTACTGGCGTATGGCTTGTTCGTTCGTTCCCCACTATCGGAGGGGGGGGGGGGGGGCGAAGGGTGCCCAGCCGCACGGTCGGCATCCGGCGACCGCCGAGCCAGTGAGCCACGCTTTGGGCGCCGCGCCGTGCCACACGCGCGGGTGGCAAGCACGCCTCAAGGAAGGGGCCCTGGGACACATAAATAAATACACACAAATAACAGGATCCCCCATATCCTTCTATATGTTCTGGGTTTTTGTCTTCCCCCCCACTTCCCATATTTTCCAAGATTTTCTTGGGAATCGACGATTAATCGTGTCTGTGTTTTTTCCCCTCCTGATTCAAGACTCCAGGGTCCTCGCCTTCCCTGTGGTGTCGCTTGGTCGCTTGTCGAGGTCCCTCCTTCCTGGCGGGCTTCTCTTCCTGCGCCCTCTCCTGCGCCCGCGATCGAGGACTAAGCCTCCCGCATGCACCACTCGTGGTAGTCTATGTGGTGCGAGTTGAGATAGTACGATATGTCCTGGGAGGGAACGGGAACGCATCGCATTGCCGGCAAGCTTGTGATGGACGGGGGTCCGGAAGCAAGAGGAGGGCATGGCTTCGTCGACGAGCTCCCCATGCTGGTGCACATGCGCATGCCCGCCAAGAGCTGCAAGTCTGCACGGATCGCCTAATTAGCTACCTCGACGCTGGGCGCAAGACGTCAAGAATCACCAAGTCGGGATCCGCGTTCAAAGGTATCCTTCAGAGTACTGCAGGGAGCACTGAAACATAACAGCTAGATCAATCATGTGCTGCACGATTCGTTCGCATCTGAGCTTGGATGGTACGCTGCACACGCCAGCCACGCTTCGGAAAATCAACAGCCACCCCCGCAAATGCAAAGTTCGCACGAGGAAATTGAACATTCAAACAACATATTGTACCCCATCATCTTCCAATATGTTCCGAATGTCCAACTAACTGTGGAGCAATGCCGCGCGGGGATCCGCCCGATCTGGCCCAGGCACGCCCCCTTGTAAATGATCATGTCCATCCTACTGTGAAACAATACCATGCGGTACTCCAACAGATCTGGTCTGGACACGGTCCCTTGTGACAAAATACAATAGGTTGCGAACACATTGCAAACAAAGCAATGCGGACCATATGCACGCGCTAGAACTCGCGCCAGGCAATATCATACAACACCGCTTGATGTTCTAAGCATTTGTTTGAGACCAAACTCACCGAATACACCTGACAAAACAATCATTTACAAGTCAAAACTGGCCAGCTTTTCTGTGTCCGCGTCAATTCTCATCGACGTAAATACTGGAATGGGCGCATGCGTTTATGAGCATTCATGGACTTCTGAATTGAGCGAACCTGTTAAGGAGATCCCTAGCCATCCGACAAGATTCAAGACGTGTATTCGACTGAATTCTTTAGCAACGACGGATTGCTCGCACGCGATGGGCCTTCAGAAACAGTGAAGCGTTATGATCCTGCTGACGGGTGGGTATGAGCGCGCTTTGCCACAAACTAGACTACACGCCGGTCAGAAAAAATATGTGAAAAACATGAAGTAGGAAGGCGGATCAACTAGATTGGGTTCCGGCCCTCCCAGAGAACAACAACACACAGCAGAGGCCTACTGGCTCTTGAAGTAGGAAGGCGCTTGAAATAGATCGGAATCTGGGAGTCCAGACATGCCGAATTTTTAAAGACCGGCGTGTGCACCAGACTCAGAGATCCGATGTCGTGTTTTTACAGTACGGGGTCCCCAGAAGTCTTGACGGTCCCGAGGCCCTGCGAGGGCCCACAGGGGCCGAAATTTGAGAAAACCTCCGTCTTGAATTTTTCAATACGTTGGATCCCTGGGGACCACACCATGCGGGAGACAACGAGCACGGACCACCGCCAGAGACCCCGGGCAGAGGCCGGAGAGACCACGGGAGACCGTGGCCTACAGATGCCGCGGGAGGTCAGGAGCAGAGGGTCTCCTCGAGCCAGGACCAGAGGGCACGGGAGACCACGCCGCGGACGTTGCCGGGAGCACCCCTGGCCCAAGGCACCCCCAGGATCCTCGGGGTGGCCCAGACTGCTCCTCCTCCTTCTCCTCCTCCTCCTTCTCCTCCTCCTCCTCCTCCACCACCCCTCGCGAGGCCCAGAGGGTCCCAGGGGCTCCAGAGTGACGCGAAAAAAGGCGGGGAGGCACCCTGGGCCAGGGGCACTCTTCAGCAGAGCCCGCGCACCACCCGCAAGCGCGGCTTGGGCGGGCGGCCGGCGAGACCGCGGCGGGAGGCCGCACGACGCTGCCACCGCGGGGGGCCACGAGCACAGAGGAGGAGGAGGAGGAGGAGGAGGAGGAGGAGGAGGAGGAGGAGGAGCAGGAAGAGGAGGAGGAGGAGGAGGGGGAGAGGAGGGATGGGGAGGGGGGAGGGGAGGAGGGGGAGGAGGAGGAGGAGGAGGAGGAGAGGAGAGGAGGAGGAGGAGGAGGAGGAGGAGGAGGAGGAGGAGGAGTAGGAGGAGGAGCACACACACACACACACACCACGAGGGGGCCCGGAGAGAGGCCGCGGGAGGCCACGGCCAGAGAGAGGCCGCGGGCCACGCCCGGGGGAGGCGGGGGCCAGAGGCCGCGCATCTCGGACCGCGGGGGCCTCGCCATCGCTCGGACGTCCATCCCCTGTTTTTTGTTCGGTTTCGTGCGTGTTTTTTCGCCAAATGATCAAGGATGCTCCTCGATGGTCCTCGCCGAAGGAAAAATACACACGTCCGAGCGATGCCAAGGATGAGGAACGAAGCCCCTTTTTTCCATACAGGCCCGTTTTTTAATACATGGGATGTGTAGCATGATATGACTTTAAATGCATGATTAAGTGATTCATAAATATATGCATGAACCCATCGTTGTCTTTCATACTAAATCCCTGCATGTTTTAATCCATGATCCGCACGCGGAGCATGTATTAGAAACGGCACTGTGAGTTAAGCTTTGATTTCCCATCGAGGACCTGAGGAAAACCTCAGGCAAGCTATAAAACGGTGAAGGAACACGGAGTCCCTCCCCAACGAAGATGGTTCCCTCTCCACGGGCCCGACTGTACGGGCGGACTTTGGACGACAGACCAATACCCCCCCAAGATGTTGAAGGATAGTCAGAAGTAGGGAACAAAAACAATCGTCCCCAGCTTATGGTCGTCGGATTTGGGGGGGGAATTTCCCGCGGAACGGGCGAAGAGCGGTGTGAGATAAACCCGTCGTCGTATTTGGGGGGGGTATTCCCCGCGGAACGGGCGAAGAGCGGTATGAGATACACCTCTCCGCCGTCGGGGACGCCCGTCCCAGGGCGGCCGGAGAAAATGTTTAGACCCTTCCGGTGGCACCGTAGGGGCAGGAACTCTCCAGCCGCCCGGGGGCAGGCGCCCCCGACGGCGGGAGAAGTCTATCTTACGCCGCTCCTCGCCCGCTGGAAAGCTGGGTACCGAGCTGACGCCCGACCGCTGTGCTGTTTTGTCAAGCGCCGTCGTGTGTGCGCACACACACACACGCCAAACTATGTAAACACATACACACACGCAGCACACAAGCATATTTCTCTGCCACACACAGACACACCCGATGGCCCTGTTGTCCACCACCACCATAAGTTGGAGGGGGAAGCAGGTGGAGGATTAGGAGGAGTAGGAGGAGGAGGAGGAGGAAGAGGAGGAGGAGGAGGAGGACTCCCTCCCCGACCAACTTATGGTGGTGGCGGTGGAAAACGAGCCCACCGAAACCTTCTCTCTCTGTCTCTCTCTCCCACGCGCCCTCCGCTGCACGCAACTCCTCAAAGTATCCGCCACCGCGTCTGCGGCACGCTGGGCGCGGAAGAATGCCAAAGGCTGCCTGGCAAGGTTTCTGCAGTCTTCTGAGGGAACCCCATGATCGGGGATGGACAGACCTCCCTTTACTAAAACGTGGTTTAGTGAAAACGACCTCGGGCCCAAACCTGGCGGGCGCAAGCCTGGAAAATGACGGCCGCGGCGCCCTCTCGAGAACCGAAAACTGACAATTCACTAATCGACGTGTCAGGGTAGGAGGTCTGTCCACCTCCGACAAGCAGGAGGAGAGGGAGGAGGAGGAGCCAATCCTGCTGCTCACACCAACCCGACTGCATCGCCCCTGCTCCTGGGGGGGGTTCTCTGGGCGACCATGGCGACCCCTTGGGGCTCTCCAAAGCTTCCATGCCGGCCCAGGAGACCCCCAAGACGGTCCAGGAGGGCCCCGAATCGCCGAGAGATCGCTCGAAGACGCCCAAGATGACCTGAAATGATGGCCCAAGAGGCCTCCAAGACGCCCCAAGAGACCTCCAAGAGGCCTCCCAGGAGGGCCTGGAGAGGCAACGATCAGGCAAGAATTGCTGAAGGAGTTTGGCGTTCCCACCTTTGCGGCTTTCCGACGCGCCAAGACGGCCCAAGAAACCACCAAGACCACCTCGAAACGACCCAAGAGGCCTCCAAGAAGGCCCCGAGACGGCCTAAGAGCGCCCCAAGACGGCCCAAGAGGCGCCCAAGACGGCCCAAGAGGGCCCCAAGACGGCCCCAACAAGGACCCAAGAGAGGGAACACGAACCGAAAATTCGAGCCTCCACCCCAAGAGGCCCCCAGGAGGCTCCAAAAGGCGCCCATGAGGCCCCAAGAGGCTCCGAAGATGCCCAGGGCCCAAAAGAGGGCCCCCAGAGGCCCAAAACGACCCCCAAGAGGCTTCAAAACTGCCTCCAAGATGCCCCCGAGAGGCCTCATACGAGATCCCAACGAACATGCAGTGGGCCGCATACCTGCATACCCACAACCCCGGCACGGTGGCGGGACTTGCCCTAGGCAGCTGGATCCGCCGACCCCTGCTGATTCATCACAAGGGTGCCCGGCGCGCTGGACTTCTTACGATTTGGTTTTGGTTCTTTTTCCAAAAGAACTCCCCCTGGGGCTCCGGCGCGTCCCGCCGGCCACCCGGAAGGATGCCGAAAGATCTTCCAGAGGTGTTTGCAAAGGGTTGTTCCGTTCCATACGGCTCCAAGATGGCCCAAGATGGCCTCCTAGACGCCTCCAAGACGGCCAACATGGCCTCCAAGACGGCTCAGATGACCCCAAGATGCCTCCAAGATGGCCCAAGATGCCTCCAAGACGGCCTAAGCTAGCCTCAAGATGGTTCAAGTTCCCCGAAACCGTTCCAAACCGATTCGGGGAACACGTGGTCCGATAGCTTGGCCAAGCTCTAGCCCAGCTGTCGAACACATAACCGTTTCCACACAGGCAGGGGGGCGCGGTGATTCGCCGTAGGCGTCTTCGATAGAACTCAGCATAAATCACAGAGCGAGCAGACAAGACATGGGGAGGGCGGCGCGACCGCTTATCGAGACCGACCTTGGGCATCGAAGAAGGAGCGACTCCCGCGAGATCAGTGTGGAAGGGGAGCTCATTCCGAACCGAAGACCACCCCCTGCGAGGCAGACGGAGCGAAGAACAGGACAATTCGCCAGCTCCACACTGGTGTACGCACGCCTCTGGAACGAAAACGCCCTGTCCCAACCTAGCCAGAATCCCTTCGGGATCGTCGGGCCCTACTCCACGGCGCTATACTAGTGAATTGCTTGAACTGCGTGAAAATGTGATAACGACGGGCCCCCCCGCCTGCAAACGACGAGAAGAGACTATGCACACGCACGATAACGCCTCCCTTCCCGATTTGAGCTGCAGAGGGCGGGTCCGAGCTCTTGCCAGCCCAGGCCTTGAAGGTGTCGAGCTGGTGCTTAGGCTGGGACATGTAGGCCCAGTAGCCCGACCATGCCCGCTTGGGCACGGGCAGCGCCGATGGCGAATCCTACTAATACGTCTGCTTATACTGGTTCTGCTACTGCCACTGCTGCTACTAACGCCGAAAGTGGAAAAGAGAACATGCGTTAAAAACGAATGATAGCGCACAACGGCCCAATGACGATCCAACACCGCCGCAAGACGCTTGCGCGATGCATCAAGACGTGTCAAGACCAGACCAACACGGCTCACAGACATCCCAGAGGCCCGACTGATATCGAAAGGGGCCCAAAGAGGCCCCCCAAAGCCCCCCCCCCTCCCGCCGTGCCCGAGAAGCCTTCCTTCGAGAAGGGCCCTGGGAGGCCAAACCGTGGAGACTCTTCAGTGCGCTCGGTGTTGCAGGCTTCGTTTCTGTCCACGCCGGCGCTCCAGGACGCCTCCGGGAGCGCCCCGAAGAGCTGTCAGGGCAGAGCAGGAGTGGCCCGCGGAGGGCACCGGGTCGGCCCCAAGACGCTGCGCGGCGGCTCCGAGACCTGCCCGGAAGCTCCAGGATACAGTCGGGGCCTTGACCGAAGGAGCCCCAAACAAGGAACAAGGCCCCTTTTGTTCCAGAAGGTAAACTTCGACTTCCGATCGAAGACATCAGGAGAACCTGAGGCAAGCTGCGAAGCGCTTCAGGAGCGCGGGGCCCCTCTCCAACGAAAAGGGTTCCTGCTTCAGGGCCCCGACTGTCTGCCTGGAGGTCTGGAAACTTGGCAGAGGCTGGAGGAGAGGCAGTCCTTGCTCTGGTGTTCTGGAGCCACCTGTGGAGTGGCCGTGGAGTGGGCGTGGATATAGCTGCCCAGAACTCGACGCGTCCTGCAGGCCGCGACAGTGCATGGGCGTTTGGGGACTGCTTCGCCAGCGTGTGGTCTTACGGACGCCGCCCATGCCCTCAGGTTGAGTTTGAGCTTGGTCTTGAGTTTGGGCACCGTGTTAGAGGTCTTGAGTTTGGGCATTGTGTTAGGGGTGGCCTCACGACCGCCGCCCATGCCGGCCGCGGATGGGATTCGCGGCCAAGCGCCGGAACATAATGACTTGCCGCCGTGCGCCTCTGCTTGCCATCCAGCTCTCCAGGTCGCGCTTTCGTCCGCCAGCAGTGTTCTGGCCAGCTCTCCTCTTCGCCCCTGGGCCGGTTCGATGATAGAGATGTCCGGCAAAGCACGCTGCAAAGCGCACGTGGCTGCAGAATCTGGATTCTAAGCAGAGCCCCCGCGAGCACATTGCATGTATGTTTGACACGGGTGCCGGGAGGTGAAGATGTTTGTCCGCGTCCGCTCTGCACTGCACCACGATCCAAGTCAGACACGAATGCAATACATTGAGGGTCCACACGCCATGCGTCATGCTGACCAGCCCGCCCCCACTATGGACAGACTGGAGACACGGATGGTCGGGGGTCGACAGATTGCCCGATGTGTGCTGCCACGTGCACTGGCTCACCCGGCGCCCTGTGCTCATCCAGCACCCGGGCGCACCTGGCGCGGCTGGATGTGGCGCACTTCGCGCAGCTGCCGCACCAAGCGCGCCTGGAAAGTCTTGAGCCCCCTGCGGCACCTGGCCCACGTGGTGTGCGCAGCGCACCTGGCACGCGTGGCGCTCATCGCACGCTTCGCCCACCTGGCGTCAATACTGCTTCACAGCCGATGTCCATCCGACGGCGACCTGTGCCTGGCCACCCACCATGCTGAACACCCCGCCGCCACTCCGCACTGGGATTCGACAAGGATGGTGGAGGGTCGGCATGTTTCCCGATGTGTTCGGTCGTCTGTACTAGCGTACCTGGCACTGAGACTCGGGTGCCATGCATGTGATGTCAGGGCACGTGGGAGTAAACGAGACGGCGTGCGGCCGTCCGTCAGGGTACCTTGATCCCTCCCCGTACCACTCCCCTGGGATCGGGACCATGATGTCGCGACGCGTTGAAGCGTCCAAGAAGCCCCAATATGTCCCCAAGATGACATCATATAGCTCAAGAGTGTCTCCAACCTGGCGCAAGATAGTCCATTATGGTTACAGTTGGTCCCAGCATGTCCCCACGGAACTCAATCACAGCCTGCCCAACGACGGCTCAAAGTGGTCACGGAGCCTCCCAAGAGTACCCCCGAGACGCCAA